ACTTTGCTTTAGGAGCTTTACAAAGATACACATATTCATTCACGTATTTATTTATTTTTGTCCATGCAAGCCTGCCACCTGATTAAATACATATTATTTTTGGTAGGAATGCTAGAATTAGACACTGACCTGGAATTATTTTATGCTCCAGTGTGGGGAAAATGTGGCCTTACTGTCCGTGGACTTCCTCAGGTATGATCTATCTATAGATGTGTTGCTTGCCTGTGAAATGATGCCAAGAACTGTGATCTAGAAAACTTTTTGGGATGCAGGGGGCAAGAATACCTTACAGTTATTATATAGCAATATTTCAAACATGCAAAAGAATGAAATGAAAAGGGGAAAGCTTTTTTATGGGGAATTTGTGAAGTGTGGCACTGGATTTCTTACAAAACTCAAGTTATTTTTATGACCTAATTTAGCAGACCTTTTTTCCTCCCCACTTCAAAGGGATAAGTATGGCTTCTCTGGGCAATCCATGTCAGTTTGCAAACTTAGGTACTCTGTTTTGTAGCTGGATCTATGACATCACACCATGGGAAAAGTCCCCAAACTTCCTAATCAGCCAGTCTCCCCGGTGAGGAACAAGAACAATAAAGCTAACTCACCATCCAGGTATGCTGAACAAATTCAAGGACCAAGTGGATCGTCCCAGTGCAAAATACTAGCTTCTTACTCTACCATCACCAATCGTGAAAGGCTGTCTTAGTTTTCTTATCTATGACTCCATTAAAAAAAAAAAAAGAAAAAGCAAAGCTGTCTGTGAACTTTAACTTGCTTTGTATAGCACCTCCCTTAGCATTTTTCATCTGTGAACACAGCATGTCATATCAATTGTTTCCTACTAAGGAAAGAATTACAATAGTGCTTTTACAATAATCTTTCCACTGACAAAGGGAATATGTATTAAAGAGTGAGTCTTGCTATAGATAGTTTGTGACCTGGGGTAGAAATATATGAGACGGGTGCATTCTGGAGGCTCAAAAAGGAGAAAACCAAACTCACTGCCATTGAGTCGATTCCGACTCAGCGACAGAGTGCAAATATATATCACTAAATAATAAACTATTAGTCTTGCTAGAGTTGGAAACAAGGATCCCCAGGAGACTTGAGGCAGGAGGTAGGGGGGACGGCCAGTTCTGTTTAGGCAGGGGACATCTAGGGAAGAAAAGAAGACTGTTGGGTTGGCCTGTGTCAGATATTGAAAGGCTGAAGCCTAGCAAAACTGTTCTAACTTAGGCTGTCAGTATCTGCAATGGGGCAAGACCTCAGGGGTTACCCTTCCCAGGGAGCAAGGAACAGTTTCGAGGGACAGGCTTTGGACTTTCTAATCCTGGTCACTGTAAAAAGACTAAATTTGGTTTCCTTTTAGGGCTGAATTTACACAGAGGCTCAATGTGACTGCCAAGAGTCCTCTATTGTCCCCACCCTTTTGTTAAATTCTTGAAATTCCTTAAGCAGGCAACAAAGACTTTCATTTCTCTGAGATATATCGCTTGTTGGAAGGAAAAAACGGACCCAAATTTTCATGTATGCTTTGGGGTCTCTCAGCTTTCCTTGGAGGAGAGCAAGGAAGAACAGACCTGATGCTGGGAATGGAATGACCATCATGGAGGGAAAAATGACAAGACCCAAAACACATCTCCTTCAAAAATGTCATGACCCCCCCACCCCCCACCCCATGTAACCTTGCTGATTCATCACTTCTCTTCTGGATTATTTTCCCTCCTAAGTCATCTCTCAGCTTCCCGTTCCAGCTCCTTCTAACCTACCTCTCATCTGCCACTGGAACGGCTAATTTTTCTAAAATCCAAATCTGATCATGAAAACCCCCTGCTTAACATCATTCAGTAAATCATTCTTGCTTTCTGAATACACAGATGCAAAACTCCTACTGTCATTCATTCACTTGCCTTTCTACCTCCTGTGAAACACCGCTGTGGCTGCCCTGAGGAAGCTTGGTCACACTCACTTTTTTGTGCTTAGGATGAATGCCCTTCCCCTTGGCTAACTCTTGTGTGACCTTCAAGATTCAGGTGTCATCATTTTGAGGAAACTTTCCCCTTGTCTGTGTGTAACCCATACCAAACCAAATCCGTTGCCTTTGAGTCGATTCCAACACAGTAGAAGTGCCCCATAGGGTTTCTTTCCGGAAACCTTTACAGAAGCAGACTGCCACATCTTTCTCTTACGGAGCAGCTTGTGGGTTCGAACCGCTGACCTTTCGGTTAGCAGCCAAGCGCTTTAACTACTGCCCCATCAGGGCTCCTTGCCTGTGTTATTTGTTGTTGCATTGTATCAGTTGCCTTGTCTATACCCTCAACTAGGCTGTGGATCTTGAGGGTTGGGCTTTGTTCTTTTATCTTTAACAGGATCATTGAGGAGAACTGAGCTAGCGGAGTCACAAAGTACCTACCACTGAGCTTCCTTTAAAAAGTATTTGATTTTAAATCATCTTAAGACTGCTTAACTCTGGTGGCACAGTGGTTAAGAGCTATGGCTGCTAACCAAAAGGTCAGTAGTTCAAATCCACCAGGTGCTCCTTGGAAACCCTATGGGGCAGTTCTACCCTGCCCTTTTGGGTCACTATGAGTCAGAAATCAACTCGATGGCAACGGGGGGTTTTTTTTTTTTTTTAAACTGTTTTCAGAAAATTGTTGTATTCCTGGTTCTACAAAAGTATGATCTATGAAGTGTACAGGGATTCTGGTGATTCTAATTATACCGTCCTAAGGATGCATTTTTTAAAGATTCACTAGTGACTAGTTTGGAATGTGGATAAATACTACAATCTCTGATCTGTGACAATTCTTTGTGAACAACGGCAGTTGTGAGGACCTGTCACTGGGGGCTTGATGGTAAAGCATTCCTGTCTCAGTACTTCTAATTAGCTCAGAATATTGGTAACAGAATTTGAAACCTCCAGCTATTTTGGACATAACATTATGAGTTCAAGTAACTGCATACGTAAATGTCCCCCCACCCTTTTCTTTGGTATGGCAAACTGTATCACATTGGAACTACCTAAAATTCTCTTTGAGGAAAACTAGGTTTGTATTGCAGACACAATGCACTATCAGAAACAAAATTTTCTAGCTATGATTTCTGGTTGGCTAAATAAACCAGCGGAAAGCTTACGTGGCACCTTGGTCTCTGGGCATTGCAATGAGAAAATTAAAGACAGCTGGTATTCCTGTGCCCCAAAACTGGGATCTCAATCAGTTGATTCCAGTTACGTAGAACACAAGATCCTAAATCTCCAAGGTAATACTGAAAGTTACTTAAGATCCTAAATGAACTAGTCAATTGGGGAAATGCTTGAAGTTGTTTCCAAAGACAGTAGATCTGGACAGTGATAAACATGATAGCTTTCCCACCCTTACTACATTTGCCCCTGACTTTGAAGTGGGGGTAAGCCTCATGGGAGTAGCTTTAGATATAAAGGCTTCCTTCCACAGCTCCTCCCCAACCCCCTAGGGTGAGATGGGTTCAAAGAAAGGGAGGGATGATGGGAGAGCAGAGGACAGGCACTATAATTTTGCATTTTTTTTAAAACACTGCACCATGAGTTGAGTATCATCTCCTGTCATTAAACTGAAAAGCTCACTCTTAAATAGCTGTTTAATATTCCATTTTATGGACGTACTGTAACTGAGTTAAAACTTTGATATCTAACCTTGCAATTTTTCAAACACCCTTAATTGCACTTCTAAATAACTAGAATAGATTCCTAGAAATATTACTGAATCAAATACTAATATTTAAGGCTCTTGATACATATTGCCGAATTACTTTCTGGAAGCACACAGGAAAGCCCACCTTTCTAGCACTGTCCTGCTGTATAAAAGACGTTTCTTTTACGAATGATCCATGTTTTTTCCCTTTTCCATTGTGGTATTAGTGTTCCTTTTTAAAATGTGGAAGTAGTAATAATTATCATTTTAAACGTTAAGATATGAATCATTTGTGGCTGCTACTTTTTAATGTTTACAAAGTGTTTTTCTACCCCCAGAACCAAAATTTGTTACGTTCACAAAGATCTCCAATGTTTCCTAATACTAGTTGTTCTCCACCTGTATTGAATATCACATCATTGGCACCTGAGGGGCACACCCAGCAAACCGTCTGGCTAACAATCCAACAGCGAAGTTTCACATTCACCTCACCTGCTGCAGTGGCTTTCTTTAAAATCTCACCCTACATTCTTAGGGTTGCTTAGTCAAGCCTACGCATTTAGGTCCTTTAGTTACTTCCAATATTCACTGACACTAAAATTTTGTTTCCTGACCAATATATTCCACAGCACTAGAATATAAAGTATTTGGTAATTTCATTTATACCCAATTTTATGCCTTTTTTTGTGAGTGGCTAATCTATTTCAAATAGATAAAAGAAAACTATCTTCCTTTAACATGGAGAACTATCGGTTTTCATCAACTCCTGCTTAACTCTAGTTGGCTATAGATACAGAGCATGTTAATTTCTCCACGTACCTCTCTGAATTCAAGTAAAAGTTTTGGTAGACAAGGATTTCCTACGTAAGTATCATTAACATAATATGAATATTGAGTACAAATATTGCTCTCTTTTTTCATTCCTTTGAATTATTTACTTTGAAAATTTAAAAACTATCATTAAGTCATTAATAACACAGATTTTCATTTAAGGAATATTTTGAAATGTGAAAATTCAAATCAAATTAAATTTTGAACACATATAGAGCCAAATATTTCAACAAAACTGCAGTTTAATTTCAGAAAATGTGTTAAAATATATATTTATACATCAATTTCTGACATACACTTAATGTGTTAGTATACACAAAATGATGCTTTCTCTTGAAACTGTATTTATGAAATGTACATTTTAATTTAAATACTCAGTATACACTGCACTTAATCTGCATGTTGCATTTATTAAATACATTAAAATCTGCAATGTAACAAAACGTTTTCTGCATACGAAATTCAAAACACCATTTTAAATGAACAAAAGATGGCTCACTTCATTTTTTTTTTTTTTTTACAACTAGTGTATAGTACACTAGCTCTGCTCCACCATACCACCTGTCCGTTCTTTTTTATTTGACATTGTTCACAGACTAGTACATATTACAATAAGAGTGCTGGATAAAAACATGAGGTACGAAAGTGGTTCAAAGATTATAGGTCATGCAGATCATGCTAGACAGCAAAGAAAATTGTGACCGAGAAAACACTAAATAAAAATACATAAAGAATGTGCATTATAAAAAAACAAAAACAAAACAAAAAACTCCATTACACAGCTTTGCTTCTTTGGTTACAAAGTAGGTTGAACAATTTCACAGCTTTTTATTCCCACCCGAAAAAAAAAGTCATACGAAATGTCAAAAAGCAGAGGAATCGTGGCAATTTCTCTATTAGAAAGTAGAAACAAATGAACAAAGTTTTCTTCATCAAAATAGCCCAATTATTTATTATATCACAATAACTGGTGACTATCTGTACAGTTGCACTATGGTCTTCATACTTACACTATACAAAATTTACATTCAAGCTGGGTCTTTACTACTGAAAATAAATACCGAAGGTAAATTGCCATTAGTGTTAGAAATATGGCAGGATTCTTTTGTTCAATTATTGCCTAAACGTTTTATCTATTAAATGCAATCCTGTCTTTCAATTCCTTTACTGATACTTACATTTAAAAAAATTAAAAAAGTTCTGTGACATTGTTCATGTACATTATGAAAATAGCAGCCCTGTAATAAATAAAACACAAATAAATGAAAACTCATGTAGGCAAATGTTACTGATATTGAGGGAAAAGTGGCTCTTTAGATGAACTGTTGTTTATCACGTGACAGGAGGGCTCAGGGTGATCCATGGGTAATCGGTAACATGGGAGAGCCACCCCAGCTCTTAAAGACCCCACTCATGCGCACCAGGAAAGACGCAGACTTTGCTTCCGTTAATAAACCCCATCCATTAGTCTCCTTTTGTACTGAAGACACAGAACTGGACATCAACAGCGCGGCATGACATCTCAGAGAGAGGAAAAGCTCTTGTAGAATGATTGTCTAATACTGAAAAGGCCAAACACACAACCGAAGCATGGCTACTTGCTTTCGTATAAAGTGGAAAGAACACCAGTGGCACACAAGGACAGACTGCTCTCAGTTTTTTTCTGACCGAGGCAGAAAGCACTATGCTGAGGAGACATTCGGCTGCTGTGGAGGCTGCGTTGGCTGCGGCGGCTGTGCGATCACTGCTGGCTGCTGAGAAGTGCTACCAAGATTGGCCTGTTGGGCTGGGAGCTGGGATAATTGGTCACTGTTGGAAAGAGATTTTAACAGTGCATTTTCTCGTTCAAGTAAAGAGTTTCTTTCTACTAATTCTTTTATTTGTTCCTTTAGAACTTCCACTTCTTCTCTTACCGCATACATCAAATGGCTTTTCACCAGATCCTGTGAAAAACAAAATCAAGAATGTAAAAAAAAGTGTAAGGGAAAGGTTCTAGCCCACTTGGTGCCTTATGAACACAAGCCACTTTCATATTCGTTTTCCTGCTCTTGCTTTTAATGTTTCCGGTATATCCTGACCAGCCCTATGGGAGATGGGGTGGAAAAAATCCAGTTCCCAACTAGAGCAGCAAGCCCAAAAGCTGAGCTTGATTTGGAGTGATCTGGTGTGATTTCAAAATTTGCAGTGATTTCTAAAAATTCTAGCTCCCCAAATCGTCAATTGTAAGCTTAGAATTTAAAAAAAGTTTAAAATCACATGCTTAGATGTCAAGACTAAGAAAAACAAAGGAGCAGCATTCCAGTGGAGGCTGTCTGATACCAAACCAGTCCTACTACTGCTTTCTAGATAAAGTGACTTACCACTTAAAAATCTTAGGATTCACTTTTTAACAGCTTGAGACTAACAGTACTTATTTATAGCCTATCTATATGGTCTTAATAAACTTGAATAAGAATATTTTGTAAAATGTGACAAAAATATCTTTAGGGGAACAACAACAAAAAAAGTAAGTAACATTTTCCAGTAAATTGATAGTAATAACAGAAATCAGAACCAGAATCAAAAGAAACAAATCTATTAAACCCAAGTAAAACAATGCCTATAAATGACCAAAAGATGACAAAGATTTCCAGATGAAGTTTCCACTTCAATACTCTTGTCCTTAAACTATTTTTGATGCTGAAATATTTTTGGAACATACTGCATTTTAATTATCTATGTCCAAAAATGCTCTTATCAGTGGGTAATGTGTGGCATGTGAGGTATTCAAATGGGGGAAATATTTACTTAATTTTATTTCTAGACTATAAGTTCTCAAGAATATTCTAGCATCTTCAACTGAATCTCATTATAGAAAAATATAACTTGGTCATCTTTGGTTCAGAGAAACTAGGCATTGGTTTTTAATGACAAAAACCAAATGCTTCATCAACCAACAATCTATGAAATGAGAGGACGATAGACTTTTACTTACCATTGCTTGTTCTATTTTGTTGTCAATGGCTACAACACCTCCCCCAGATGCACTGGAAAAAATTAGAATATTTCACTAAATTATTCTAAAAAATTTAACCTCCCTTCCAAGTCTCAAAATAATATAAAAACATTTGTGTTTTACTTAATAATAAAGTAATTTAAAACAGCTTAATAAGTCTATTCTGACAATTTTAATACTCAAGCCTCTCATTTTTAAAATGAGAATCTCAGTAAATAAATGGCTTCTAAAAATCCTTTGTAGTTCCAACATTTCTAATTTGCCTATGACAGATGCTACTTTAAAAGTAATTCCCACTTCTACTGAGGAGTTCTCAATTGAGTGGTTTTAAAAGGATACACTGAATGAATAGTACCCTCTCCACAACTGGTAAACTTCTTCATTATCCAACTATATATTCTAATCCCAGAGATTACTTATTGCATTAAAATTCAGGTGATGACTTTTATTCTACAAGTCAGTATATTTTAACACCTAGTTTTAAAATATTTAGATCTGGCTTCTAAAAATGATTCAGGAGGCTTTTGAGCAGTACTCGCACTCAACATTCTGACCGTCCTAGAGGCATGGGTTGTATGTGGTTTAGACCAGTTTTTCAGAAAAAATTCGAAGTAGTCTAGCTGGTAAGTACATCCTAAATTCAAATATCACCTTAGCTTTTGTATGATAATAAATAAACATCCAAAGTTGAATAATGATCTTCTTGGGTAGATTATTTTTCTTATGAATTAACTTCAGTTAAGAGCAGCAAGAATCTACATCCTCTTCTTGGTGTTTCTGCACGTTCTGAAAACCAATCAGTAGGGTTCTTTTTGGAGTCCGGGTGGTGCAGTGGTTAAGAGCTATGGCTGCTAACCAAAAGGTCAGCAGTTCGAATCTACCAGCTGCTCCTTGGAAGTCCTAAGGGGCAGTTCTACTCTCTCCTACAGGGTCACTATGAGTTGGAATCGACTCAAAGGCAACAAGCTTTTTTTGCTTTAGGGTTCTTTTTATTACTCTTCTAAAGACAAATAAATCTGATACTTCGATCTATCATTACTGAAAGAGGTCTTTAAAACAATTTTTATATAAAACTACTAAATACTCATTATAAAGTATACCCTACCTAGGAAGATCTGGGTGCTAAAATATGAGAAAACTGTTTACTTTAGATGTGTGGACCCTCAACACTGTTACCAAACTGAGGCTCAGGACTATCCTGTCCGATGTTAAAGGTGCCTTGTACGTTGTAATCCAAGTACACCTGGTTATTATCCTGGTTCTACTACTCACTACCTGTGTGACCATCAGCAAATCGGCTACTTAGCTTCCCTGGACCTCGGTTTCATCATCTGTAAAATGAAGGAGTTGGTGTAAATACCCCAATGGACTTTCCATTTCTTGATCCTCGAAACTCTGAATCAATACATGAAAAACACTGACATGTTTATCTAAGCATTAACCACATTAATTACAGTATGCTACTTTACTTCCTCCTACTGATACATCTAAGATGAAAAAGGTATCTGTATACCTAGTAACTGTAAAGGACTAACAAATACCTATACCTATTAGGCTTTAAATGCTTGCAGAAACTGCAAAGCAATGTATGACTATATGTCACTATAAACTATAGAAAAACTATATATGCCCTAAGTCTTCAGTGTAAAGTTCAATGACAGGTACCATGTGGATGTCTATTAAATATTGGCCACAATCTGGCAACACAAAACAAAAAACCCACAGAGACAGGCAAATGTAATTACTGCCACAGAATCAACATAAAATGAAGAAAATGAAAGCTTAGAATCTCTTTTTTAACTATCATGGTAAAGGCAAGGAATAATTTTTTAAAATAATCTGTTTACTATGGGTCACTTTTTTTGAAGAAAATCAAACCTTGATCAGCATTTGTTAGATGAATTATGAGTATGGAGGGAATAGACAGAAATGTAGAACTGTGAAATGAAAGATAAGAATGACTGTATTACTTTCTATATGAAGAATTTATTTACTGGCACTGAAGCCTCCCAAAAGAACAGAATGAGCTTGAATTTAATGTTTAAATAAAGCCAAATACAATGGAATTCACCAGAAAAGTAAAACCCATTTAACTTAACCTATCAATGCCGCACTACAGGAAAATAGCTTGGCTTTCCAGGCAGTTCCACCATCTTTGAATTAATCCCACCTGGCTCCCTGCCACGGCTTCTCTTCCCAGGCCTCCTTACTCTTATCACAGAGATCACTTGCAATCTCACTGGGAAGAGAAGCAGTCAGGTATGAACCTCAATTTCACAAGTTCTCTACATTTTTGTCCTTCTTACTAGGCTAACTTTTCATCCATGCTCTCAGCCCAGCGACTTCGTGCAAATCATTGCCAGTCTTTTCTCTCTAAAACTTAAAACCAGTGAAGCCAAAGTCAGGATAATTTAACCTCACATTTTTAAAAACTTTGTGAGAAATCAACTTTTTTCTTTATCTGTAGTAATGTGGGCAGAGACATAATGGCTACTTAAGATTCGCTTACTTAAAAACTAACAAAGAAACCAGGTAGAGGAAAGGAACACTCAGTTATTTCAGTGAGTCCTTCAAACAAGCCTGAGTGACATTCTCATTTTACAACTGAGGAAACTGAGGCCATGGAACTTGCTCAAAGATACAAAGCTAGTAGTAGATTCAAAGCTACACAGAATGTCAAAATACTTTTTCTACCATGACGATAAGACTGAAAGGAGAAAGCGACTATCTATAATGACCTCAAGTAAATCCAGAGTTGTGTATATTATTAAGAGTGCTTTAACTGAGTACCAATGTTAACTGTAAAACCCTAAGCATGGATCCAAGGATGAAACCATTTTCATAACATGCCCTTTATCTTATTTAGCACATTCCTAGAAGTAGTTCAGCTCTGAGAACAAGGGAGGTAACTTCTTAGAAAAGGCACTTGCTCATGGATCTTTAGACAGCCAATACAGTTTACCTATTCACTCAGAACTAAAACACTGTTTTCGTTTGTTAGAAAGCTGAAGGTATCTTAAAATCATATGTATCTATAAGCAAAATACTGTAAAAAAAAAAATTACCTTGCTTTACTCAAAGACATCTCTAACTTTCTGTGTTGAAGCTCAATCACAATTTTAAATACATTAATTCCCTAAATTACAGAATCAAATCTTTTGTGGTAAGAACTATTCCTTTAATTGAGCTGGTAAATCTTATACTGCTATGCTCACGCCCCCTTGCCCAAATGTGGTGAAAATGATTCTTCACAAAATTACAAGTAGAAGTCACCACCTTTCTAGGTCAGTCCTTAGGAATCATAGATTGTTTTCAGTAAATCACCTACCACCTTTATCCCCATCCCCGAAATTAACTTCTAAGTTCTATAATACCATCATTACTACTAAAATGCATTCATTCTAACCTGGGCAATATTTTGTGTCTTTATAAAAGGTGTGCTTTGTTTGCTTATTAGAAAGAAAATTAAGAAGATGTAAGTTGCTGACTGCAGAAGAATAAAACTAACAAATCTATAGCTCGGCAAGCCTGTGAAAGTCAAATTTAAAAAAATCCACCACTCTTCTGTAAGAGGGCATTAAAAAATATTATTAACACTTATTTTTAAGAATAAGTAACAATTCTCCGTCCAAAAGAGCCTACATAGATAAAATTCATGTACACTTAAATAACATTATATTTAACGATTTAAAACTACAGCACAATCTTCAAAAGCCCGAACCTCTGTAAGGCGGAAACCTGTCAGAGAAGGAAAATGCATTTTCCACTAATAGAGAACAATATTAAAGTGGTAAGATCGCACCCTGTCACAGGCAGAAAAGAGACCTGGAAAAACAAGGCAGTCCCATTGAGTTCCAGCTCTCACAGGTTTCCCTGCATAATATAAATACCACGTACTAACAGTGTTAAAAAAGGACTATTTTATAAATAGGAAAACAAAGCTATACATAATACAATAAGCTTCAATGATTTAATTTCTACATTCACTCTAAATACCAACCTAAACTTTTCTATTCAATCACCATTTTTAAAACAAAATCTTCTGGCCAAATACAAACCTCTAAGGTCATGAATAAAACTTTTAGATGAATAGTAAATTAAGCTAAGAACTTAAAATTTTATGTATTCTAATTATTGACCATAAATTCTACCAACATAAAAATGATTAATCTGTTTAATTTCATGATGAAAAAATCCACAAAAATGCCCCATGTTGATTTTTATTATTAGTAACACAAAATAAGTGATTTTTAAACTCGTATTCATTCTGAACAAGCAAGTAAAATGGCTACTCACAAAAGTAAGTTTTATTATTTTCTCAAGTAACTAGTTTCACAATGGTGTGAAAAAAGCTTTTACTAAGGAACTATTGAAGCCCATCTAAATATTTATATAATTTTCCCATCTAAATATTTATATAATTTTATTTATTGTTAGGATCTTCAATAAAAATCTTTCTCATCAATGCTCAATATATTTTATATTTATCTAGTTAATTTTAAGTTAAATTTTTGGCCAGAAAAAAATGTTTAAAAAGAGAAAAAAGATATATGCTGTTGGTTATATTAATGTTAATCTCCTGGTTTTACTACAGTCATGCAAGATGTTACCATCGGGGAATCTGGGTACATAGGACTTTCCTATACTCTTTCTGCAACTTATCTGAATCTATAACTATTTCAAAGCAAAAGCTAAAATAAATTCATAATATACACAAAAAGGTATGAAATGAATACAAAGTCCCTCTCCTACCTCAGACTCCCTTTTTCCAGAGTCAACCACATCGTTTGTATTAAGGGTCTTAAAAAAGCTAATTTTGGAAGAGTTTAAGACTCTGGAGTATTTTATGCCTAAAAATATATAAAAATTAAAAACTTTTCCAATAATCTCTTTAAAATATAAAGTACTTTTAGAAATCTGTTAAGACCCCAATAGAAATATGAGTAGAATTCATACTGACAGTTCACAACACATGAAAAAATACTCAACATCTCACTCATAATAAAAATACACATTAAAACTACAAAGTAA